GGAGGGAAGGAAGCCCAGCCTCCGCTCTTTCATGGCTCTAAGTCTGTTCCAGGTGCACTGCACATGCCCACGACAGGGCCTTCCATCTCTGTGACGGCCCTCTCGCCCTTCATTCTCAGGTGCCCCTGGGTTCATCACCCCGCCCCTTCCTCCCTGCGTGTCTCCCTGTCCTGCACAGCCCCTCTGCCAGCAGGCATACTTGACTACAGCAGGATCCACTGCCACACTCCCTCCTTCTTGGAATCCCACTGGCCCTGTTGCCATCCTCAGCCTGGCCTTCATGATTTTTCTTACTCTTCTGATGTTGAAGGTGCCAGTGGTTTTCTCCTCTGCCTACAAGGAGAATTTCAAACTTATGTATGGAACAGCTCATCGGGAATTTGTTTATTTCCATGCCCTCTCAATTCCCAATTCATGGCCCCCTTCTTTTCCTCCTATTCCCCTTATCACAATGGCTGCTTTGGTCAATTTCCAATAAGATTTCAGATGATAGCTCAAAGACCATAGGTGGTGTCTTCTCTTTGGAATATTTATGTTTTAGTACAGGATATATGGGCTCCATTGTCCAAATCACAAGTTCTATCTGTTCTCTACATCTATAGGCAAGAGTTTGTTTTCCTCAGAGGGACTGAAAACATTTCAGATGAAAACTTGGCAGCCTTCAAGGGAAGGGAGCCCACAAACTGGTCTAACAGATAATTGATTCATAATAATGGCCCATAGGGAAGAGTTGACCTGAAAGACGCCCTTGAAAACCCATTGCACAGTGTTCTCTCTGGTCCCTCCTACTTTCGTATCCCCGAGACTCTGCCCAACTCTTTGAGGTGGTCTTCACAAAACTGCATCAGCCAAGAGAAAAGGAGAATGAAAGCTGCTTTGTGCTCATTTTGTTGAGATTATTAACCATTTGCTGTTGGATTACTTCTCTCTCCTGAAGAAAAGAAACAAGTGCTGGGTAATCTTGTTGGGACTTGTGCCTCATTTAACTCTGTGAGTCGTGTCTTCTGAAGGTCTAAGCTTAGGAAAACATTGTGACAAAATGCTGTATTAAGATTCATTTATAGAGGGTTGGGTAAAAAATGTATCAGGAAGATTATCAAGTTATGACTCAGCCTAAATCTTTAAAAAATTACCTGATGTTTCATAAGAAGCTCCATTTAAAAATATCTCTACTGTTCTATGAATAGAGATTAAGAGGAAAAATCTGACATTTTTTGAGACTCAGAGGTTTAGAGGTGGGATATTTATTCTATAATATCGTTAAAGACTTTATAAGTCAATTTGGTGTTGTGGGATGGATGTATTTAATATAAGCAAACATTTATTTTGAAAAACAGGGAGTTTTGTAATTAAGTAATCTGCCTTGCTTGTTATTATCTTCTTATTCTTCTCTCTAGATGAGTGGCTCTCAAATTTAAGCATACATCAAAATCACATGGGGGGGGGCTTGTTAAAACCTAAATTGCCCTTGGAGATTCTGTTTTGGTGGTGATAGGGTCCAAACGCATTCCTAACTAGTTCCCAGGTGATGCTGACACTGCTGGTTGGGGGGGGCACACTTTAAGAACTACTGTTGTAGATCATTTTAAACATGGCTGCACGTTAAAGTGACCTGCACACAAAAAATACCCCCAGTATTGGCCATATCAGACCAACTGAATCAGAAAATCTCTGTGGCGGACACCCTGGGCGTAGAATGTTTTAGAAACAACTCAGGTGATTCTGATGTGTACATCTTTGTTCTAGGTGGAGCTGACTAGTACACCAGCCTTCAAAGATCACCATGCCAAAGCAGTTAGTAGCTCACAGCTGGGTGCTTGCTGACCTGTGGGCTCCTGTGCCCGTCTGGCCGGCCCCAGGCTGTAGGGTGGCATCCTCCCCTGTCAGCGAGTATCGGTTTCTGGAGCGAGCTTGAAGTTTGTGCTATCAGCAAAACTTTATTACAAAAGGCTCTCTGGGAGTTTTCTTCTGATAACTGGGAGGGCAGCCTGAGTCAGAACAGGTTCACGCTGTACTTTGGCATGTGATAGCTAGTCTGGGGGACAATGAATCACTTCAGGTTTTGAAAAGAAAGGCAGGAAAGAAATAGTTCTTGTTGTTTTCCCCAATATTTTCTTATTTAATCCCCAAAACAGCCACCACATCAAAGCTAGTAAATTATCTGCATTTTTACAGATGAGTAACCTATAGACTGAGGCTCAAAAGAGTTAAGTAAACTTCCCAAGGTCACAAGACAAAGGTGGCAGAGTTGTCAGTTGAACCCAGTGATGTTTGACTCTAAAGGCAAGGGTCCCTGCCACCTCACCACCTTTGCAAAATGCCTTTGGGGTTCCAGAGACCATAGATATTATGTAGAACCAGCTACTTAATTTGTGGGTCCCAGTGCAAAATGAAACCATGGTGCCTCTTGTTAAAAAATTGTTAAGAATTCAAGAAGGCAGCAACAGAGTATTCAGCCAAGTGTGGGGTCCTGTGTGACTGCCCAGTTCATATGCCCAGGAAGCCAGCCCTGCCTGATGTTATGTGTTGATCCACACAAACTACATATCAAACTTTCTGATCCAATAAAAAGGTCTTCTCAGAGGAACGTGGTAGGGAGGTAGGTGCCCCAGATCTGAGCATGGAGATGTTGGATTGTAGTAATAGCTCCACGAGTAACTTCCTGTTGACCTTGATCATGTAATTTAACCTCTTGGAGGTTCAGTTTGCTCATCTGTGAAATTGAGAGAGGGACAAGTGGGAAGGCCATGGACTATATTAGTGTTTTCCAAACTTGAGTTATTTATATATCACATTTTTAGTGTAGTGGCTATGGCCATGGACTCTGGACCCACACTACCTGAGTTCTAATTTTGGCTCTGCTATATTCTAGCGATGTGACCTCAGTCAGATACCTCAGTTTCCTCATCTGTAAAATGGAGATTGCTGTGAGGATTAAATAAGTTAATATAAAGAAAGCCCTCAGAATAATGACTATGTGATAAGTGTTATATATGTTAATTATTACTAAGAATCATATAGCACTGGTACTATTCAGTACTAATGGTTTTCTTAATTTGACTCCCTTTTTAAATTAAAAAATAATCACCAGATTTATACGAGTATGTCTATTTTTTTCTAGTAATGTGAAGATGTATAGTAATTATAAAAAGCTTATTCATATACCCCCTAAAATCAGCCCAAATATTACCAATGGAATAGTCACCCCACTGTGGGTAACACTGACCTAGAAAGTGAAGGCCCCTTCCAGCTTTAATAGTCTAGCGATGATTCAGTAAGTCCATGTATCTTTGTGTCTATACTTTCATTCATTTCACAAATATATAACTAAAATATTTCTACCCACTTCAGTCACTCTACCCATGGTAGGATCTTTCCATTGCTTAGCTACATGGTCCAGTGGAGAAATGTTTAAACAGAGAAGAGAGATTGTGAATGAATCATATAAATGGTTAAAACTTTGACAAGTTAGTGATGTTGTCCCCTGGAGAAATACCCGTAATGTCTAACAAGGGATGAGACTTAGAAGACTGGAAAATTGAAACAAAATACTTATAGGAAGATACAGAATGTCCTTCAGAGGAGAGGAATCTGCTGGAAGACATATGCTTTTTCCTTTGAGTACCATGTCTCCCCTCCCCCCTCCCCCCCACTTCCCTCTATCTAAACCTTATCTTTATAGGGTCAGGTTCGAGTTCTACCTCTTCACAGTCCTTTCTGGCTATTGCTGATAGGAAGTTTCTTTGTTTCTCCTTTAATGAGTGCTTTATAATAACAGAGAAGTATTTATTAAGCACCTACTATGTTCCAGGCACAGAGGCCATAATGTTGAACACCTATATCCCTGGCCTCAAGGAGTGGATTGTTTACTAATCCATGAGTCTCTGTACTGTCCTGACCAGGCTAGTTGATTCATGCATATTTGTCTATCCTCTCCTTAAGGCAGGAGTTACTTATTCTATTGCTTTCCTATTCCTCAAAGCACCTAAGGATCCTCCTTAACTAAGTATTTGTTAACAGAGACCCTAGGGTTACCAAGTTGTATAGAGAACATAAAAATAGTGACTAAAGAACTTTAAAATCAATCTCCAGTTAAACATCCCTCTCAGGTTACTATTAGCACCAATCCCCAGCCATCTCATAAAATCAGTGATTGTTAGATATGATAAACATCTATTGTGAATATAATATAAGTAGATCACAAAGGAAAATTAGAAATTTTGGGGAAGGTACGGAACTTCTTGAAGGCAATGAAAGTGAGCTTAGAGAGAGCAACTCTAATTCATACCCAAAGCTGTGAACAATTGAGGACCTGACAGACCCATCTCAGTTATCAACAGAAGAAGGATGATGACGTGATGGGTACTTCCCAAGAGAATGCTTGGAATATCAAAGGATAAGACAGGACCTTGGGGGTGGGTTGGGGGGGGAATGAAAAAATCTTGAATAGTTTATGAAAGTCAATATGAATTGAGGGATGTTAAATGGTGCCATAATGCAATTTTATCAGATGAAAATGATGCCAAAAAATCCATACTTAATTTACACTTTGCTCACTTAAAAAAGTATGGCATGGTTCCTATTTTAATTTAATTTTGTCAAATACTTTTTTTCCCCATAATTTTTAGTTTCTAAGATAGAATGCCAATCAACTTTTCCCACCCTCACGTTTATAATGCTGTTTTCCCCTCTTTTTTATGTGGATTCATTTAAAGTGGACTTTTTATGGTATTAATTATCCATAAGAAGACTATCCAGTAATAGTATTCATGGAAGTGATGGATTGATCAGCATCATTCTTCAGAACCAACGACCAAGACCACAGTAGGCAGAGAGGGTATAACTGACTTTCTTGACTCTAATGCAGAAAGCAAGGGTCCATAGAACCAGCCAGATTTTTCTTGGAATGGTAATACCTAGCCCAGCAAGAAGGTTATTTTGGGATAAGCTGTTCAATGCATTAAAAGGGAACTCTCAAGGTTCCCAAGGAAGTTGCTTACCCACAAAGCACCAGACGGCAAACCGGATCCATGTGATGGTGGAGAGCTTTAGCATGAGATAGATGTTCACCAGCATGGCAAAGGCAGGCACAAAGGGGAGGCAAGGGGCCATATAGGGCAGCTTCTTGGGGTTCTCTGGCTGCTGCAGGATCACAAACACCAGGGCACTAATCAGCAGCACCATCAGAACAACCAGAAGGATGGCCCACCAGCTCTGCTCTGAGATGTAGTCAGAACCAAAGATGATGAAGGAGCAGAAGATGAACATGAGGATGAAGAGCAGGAGCACGCAGATGGTCACCGTGTGCCCCGTAGCTGCTGTGGGCCGGTCCATTTTGCCTGGAAGGCCCAACCGGATCCTCATGGTGTAGTAACGGGGCCCGATCAGCTTTTTTAACTTGATGAGATAAATGTTTTCAGATTCGTCAGCTTCTATGCCTGTGGTCATGTCCACAGTGCCGTAGTTGGGGTGGTTGACATTGTAGGTTGACTTGTCAGATTTCCCTATGAGCATCTCATTGTCTCCCAAGGATGGTAAGTTCTTGGCCCCACATGGGTTGGTGGCAGGGCCAGAAAACTCTTCTCCTTCACTCACAGGAGAACATACTTCCTTCTCACTGTCAGCCAGAATGCCCTCCTTCTTCTTTGTGTGCTCTTCGGACAAGAACTTGACAAAACCATCAATGTCACTCTCTGGTTGGTATCGAAGGAGCAAGACACAGACAGAGACCAAGGTGTAGGCAAAGGAGTGTGCCAATGGACATCATCTCTATCAGATCTCTCAGGCTGACCAGTAGCGAGAGGAGAGCCGCCAGGAACCCCGACACGATGCAGGCCACCACTGGCGTCTCTGTGTAGGAGCTCACATGAGCTAGGAACCTGGAGGGTTAATGAAGCACAGGGTTAACATGGCTACAGATGGTGATTGATTCTAACAGGGCTTAATTCCCCCTGGTCCGGCCCCTCCAATTGGCTTATGGATTCACTGCTTTAAATATAGCTGTGCTTCTGACTCTAGGATTTTGTTCCTGGAATATAATTTAAAAATAGTGTAATTCCTCAGTTTTGAGACAAACTTTTTATTAAAGTTCCTAGTCTATTATGTGATGTGAAGGGTTGATTGAATCTTGAATCTAGGAGGTATTTCAGAAACCTAAATTGAAATCCAGGCTTTGCTCGGAAGAAGTGATAGTCACACACCTACTAGATGAGATAAATGTTTGGGGGTCCTCTGGACCTGTGTAAACCAAAGTATGGTCCGTGTATCAGCAGCACCAGCATTACCTTGGAGCTTGTGAGAAATAGATATTTCAGGTTTCACCTGAGACCTACCACATCAGAATCTCTGGGAGTGGGGCTCAACAAACTATGCATTAAAAAAACCTCCGGAGTCTGACTTATGCCAAACCTTGGGATGCACAGCTTTACAACAAAAGTATAAGAAGTAAGCTAGTAAAATAGCACAATAATTAGGAGCCAGTACTCATTGGTGCAGGATAAATTCAGCCAGTTACCAACTGGAGGCCAACAAGAGTGATTGAATGGCTGCTGCTTCCTTAGCAGTTCCTGTGGACCTTAATTAGGTTCCTGCTCTCTTCATGATCCTCCCCACTCCTGCCTCTTCTACTCCTCCCTTATTTTCAGGATTTACACAAGACAATAAACTGTTCTTGGAACCCAGTGTCTTTCCTTTTAATTTTCTTTGACAGAAGAAAAACCTTGTGGATGTGTGTAGCTGTCACACCCCCACACCTTGGTCAGATTCTCCCTGATCTGTCCAGCTTCCCTAATATAGCAGCTCAGACCTGGTGATGACTTCAGGGGACAGGCTGAGGAACTGGAGCAGAAGGTGACAGCCAATGGCAGAGATAAAGTCCCTGAGCTGGTTCCTTCTGCACCCAAGGGCTTCTGGTCTCCAGGGTTTACACCTTGCTTTGTGCACTGGAAGAATGCTTTCCCTGCAAGCCCCTTCCATGTGGACACTGGGAACCAAGAGATGGGGCCACATCACCTCTGTGCTGGGGGCAGATAGACCACTTCATGCTCAAGATAGGGAGCTGGAAATGTCACTCTACTGGTGTGGTTAAAAGTCTGGTTTTTGGAGTTAGACCATCTTGGGTTCAAATCCTGTCTCACCACTCAGAAGCTGGGGGACTTGAGGCAAGGGTTTTTGCCTCTCTGAGAATACTTATCTAGTTTACTCATCTGCAAAACAGAGTTATTGTGACTTAAAGGCGTACTGTATACAAAGCACCTGGGATGCACCAATATTCAATGAATGATAGCTATTGTTATTACTATTATTAGGTTCAGTGCATAGGGTATTATTCTCTCTTTGATGAAAACTTTGAACTTTTTAAACTTCAGAGGGGCTGTGCGGACAGGGCCAGGTACCAGGCCTCAAGATGAGGGCAGGCCTAAGATGTAACAGGATGGGTTCTCCCTTCTGGCGGCCACCCAGTGTCACAGTTTGGCACTCGCCATCTTTACAAAGGAATATACAATGTCAAACAGGAGAGGGGGCAGACAGAGGAACAGATCAGTTTGTGCTGGATTGAGGGACCCAGAGTCAAATAGAGGAGCTGTTTCAGGGCATAAGCTCTTTCAACTCAAACTCTTTGCCAGGATGTGACACGTTCCACAGTCTGTGTGACAGGCACGCAGATCAAAGTTGCAGTCAGGCTGACAGCGGGTGACATTCTCCCTGTACAGGCCTGACAGAACAGAACTAATTCCACAGAGCACAAACCTTACCTGAAAAGGAGCCCATCTCCAGCCATGGCATAAATGACCCTCGGCATTGGGAAGAGGGAGCCCAGCAAGCTGACCGTCAGTCCTGCAACTGACCCAATGGCCACAATGAATTTTGCAGCATAGAACCCATGAACCACAAACATCTCCATGAGCGGGGATTCCGTGTCAATGGCGTAATATGGCACCATCAGAGTTAAGATCATGCTCACCTGTGGAAACAAGAGAAAACATGGCTGGAGGTAGAGGGGACTGACAGCATGGATGAATGACCCACAGGAGAGAAAGTCAGAGGACTCGGAGTCAGAGGGCTGCACGGCAGTTTGGACCTGCCACTTCTTGGCACATAATTTCCCTTATAAGCACTTGGCCTCTGGAATTCTCAGTCTCTATTTTCTCCCCACACATGGACTTAGTGGACTAGACCAGATAACCTCTAATATCTTTCAATGGGCCTTTCATATCTGAGGAATAAGTCTGCAGGTATTTCAGCCCCATGAAAGTACTGACAGTTCAATGAAGGGCAATTCCCAGGTGGGAGGAGCTGCAGCCACAGGCATTGGAGCCAAGGCCCGGCAGCGACCATGAGAACCCTGCCCACATGGACATGACTCTCATTTCTTTTCAACTTTCAGGGTCCTACAAGGTCTTAACAGTACTCCCTGTCACCCCAAAGACCAGAGATCAGAACTCCAAAGATAGTTGTGTAGGAGAGCCATAGCCAATAAGCTGATGAGACTCAGATGAGGACTCATTTTCCATTTCTTCTCTGTGGCTCAGTCCCAGAAGCCAGGCAGGCCAACAAACAAATTACGGCTTCAGGGTGGAATCCAATTCTACTCTGGGCCATAAGACCACCATGGCTTTGCTTAGTCAGGAATCACTTAACCAGGATCTATCTCCCTTCATACATTACTAGAGGCCCAGTGCACGAATTTGTGCACAGGTGGGGTCAGGCCAGCCCACCCTGATTGGGCTGATTGGGCCGGGCGGCCAGGGGGAGGGGTGGCAGGCAGTTGGTGGGCCAGCCCTGCCCCTGATGGGGGGTGGGGGGGAGGCGATCAGGGGTGGTGCTGGCCAGGGGGAGGGATTGCAGGCAGTTGTCCTGCCGGCCCCACCCCTGGTTGAACTCCTGGTCGAACTCCTGGTCGAACTCTTGGTTGAACTCCCAGTCGAGGGGACAATTTGCATATTAGCCTTTTATTATATACATTATAGATCTGCCATAATATCCTTCCCTTCAGAATTGGCCTCAGGCAAGGGACCCACCGGTCATTTGGCCAGGCTCCCCTTTGGCCTGCAAAGGCCAATGCTGGCATCAGGAAAGGAGTTCAGAGCCTGAAAGGGAGAGAGCGATGCATTTCTAGATCACTTCTTTACCTATTCCTCAGGAGCTGAGAACCTCCAGTGAAGCCATGGGCTGAGGGTGGACAGTAGGATGGGTTGCCACAGCCCAGCAATTCAGCTCTTCTGGTGGTGGAATGGCAGACTGCTGACGGGCACAGGAACAAACAAGTCCTGAGGCATGGCTAAGGCCCATGCATTCTGAACAAATATTTCCCAGCAGCCACTCACCACTTGCAATGTCCCTTTTGGGGGTGGGGTGGGGTGGGCTGGAGCAGAGTGGGATTGATCTTACAGCAATTCCTGTTGTGTCTCCTAGCCTCATTAGAGCAGGCTAGGCAAAGGGTTGGTAGATGCCTGAAAGTGCTCTGTAGTCTATGAAGTGCCATTCTAAGGAAGGAGCAGTTATTATGAACTTTATTGTGCTTGTGCTGCAAGGGTCGACCCCTGGAGGAGGGGGAGGTACAAGGAATAGGAGAGGAAATGCATAGCAGAGTGTCTCTGCTGCTCCCCCCACACCACACCTCCCTGAACACTCTGTCTTCAGGGATAATCAGGATATAGATAAGAGGAAACCACTTGTAATATGTGTGCATGGTGGGAGGTGATAAATGACCTACCCATAAATGTTTGGCTGGGCAACTGAATTTCTACAAACCACATCCAAAGCTGCTCTTGTGCTTTCCTTTGGTTTCCAGGACAATCCCATTTGGCAGTTTGCCTTAATGATCCATTGGTTGGCTTCTTTAGGTGGTTGCTAAAGATGGTTTTATTTTGTGCCTGGCCAGTGTGGTTCAGTGGATTGAGAGTTGTCTCATGCACCAAGAGTTCACCGGTTTGAATCCCTGTGTGCCCGGGTTGCAGGCACACCGGGAATAGGAAGATAGTCTATCAGTGTTTTTCTTTCATTGATGTTTCTCTTTCTCTCCCTTCCTCTCACTCTAAAAGATCAATAAAAACATATTTTTTAAAAATATTTTTTTCTGGGGGGAGGGGAAGGAGGTGCTTTTCCCATGCTGTAGCAGCAGGAGCCACAGGGTTTATAGTGTGCATCCCAGCTGCTGACTGGAGTGGGGCCCTCAGGGCCTGGAGTATTTGTGTAAACACACACCTGTGGGCTTGTCAGCAGGTTCTCTCCATTGCCAGGGGGTGAGGGGGATCTTGGATGTGGCTGAACTATCTCTGTGACAGAAATTCTAGGGTGGGAGCTGGGAGATGACACATCAAAAGTGTGAGGAGCATCCTGAGGACACAAGTCTGAAAACTTTATTATGAGGACAACCCTTGACAGGGAAACCCTAAGAGGCAAGCTTAAGCTCCTCTAAAACAACAGCAGAAAGAAATTGCACCCCCCCCACCCCCCGCCGGCATTTAAGGGAAGAGCATCTTCAGAGGACGTTGTACTCTCTCTCTTGACTCTGGGGGAGCCTCGCCTCGCCTCGCCTCTTCACTGCTGGGAAGCTCCCAGAAGACAGAAGAGCATTGAGGAGGGTGCACAGAGGCCCACAAAGTCTCTGCTTGCACACCCACCCGTTACTGCCAGCCTATGATCTGAGATCCTTGGACAGCGGCCCACTCCCAGCACACCATCCCCGGGCAGCAGTGGACACCAGGAGCCTGTGTGTAGGGCAGTTGGGGATGGTGACTCAGTGGCAGTGACTTAAAGGAGGGCCTGGGCTTCTCCCATCTCCAGTTTGGAGTCCTGATTTTCATCTTTTCATCGGTGGGTGAAGATATAGGGAGCATGGACGCGTGTACAAACACCAAGGGCACAAGGAAAGGATCACTTCCTGACAGAAGGGGACCCAGCCCCAGAGCCACATTTTAGGGTCAAATATGAAAAGGCCATGAGGAGGGTCCCACAAGTCTTGGTACTTACAGATACATATGCTGTCAGGCAGATGACCAAGGAGGCGGTGATAGCATAAGGGATGGACGTGTTGGGATTTTTGGCTTCCTCTCCGGTGGTGGCGATGATGTCAAAACCAATGAAAGCATAGAAACATGTGGCTGCCCCTTGCAGCACCTGTAGGGATGATGACATCTGTCAGTACCAGAGCAGTACCAGGGCCTTACATGTGGTACCCACAACTGCCTAATGCCCAGAAGACATTACTGAGTGGCAGAGGGGGTAACATGGTGGGACTTGTGCTAAGTTCTGATCTTCTCTCTTTCTAGCTGTGTGACACTGGTCCATTCCCTCACATGTAAAATGGAAATAAGAAGAATTATGCCCAAATAAAAACAAGTAATTCAATACATTCAAATCATTTTTGGAATTAAGCGGGGCAATAAAAAAATCACTAAATTGGCTATCCCCATGTCTTAGGAGAACTCATTAATCTCTCTGTGCTTTTATCCAGGGTTTCTCAACCACTAACAGGGGCTGTATGACTACCCCTAGGGGGCATTTGTAAATTTGGGGAGCTACTTGTGACTGTCACAGAGACATGGGGTAGGCACTTCTGGCATTTAAAACAGTGGGCTCAGGTGTCTGCACAAGGAATTGTCCTGCCCAAATCACCATTAGTGCTTCTGATAGATCATCTCTATGGTAACTTCTAGATCTGAAGTGATGTAAAAGACTTTCACATCTTCAGATATTCTGTTGTCTTCCATGGGAAGACAGGTAGGAACAGTTTGATTTTTCTGCTTTTAGGGGGGCTTCAGTGACCTAATAGGGCTATAAGGCAGGAGAAGGTCTGAGGTAGTTGGCTGTGTAAAGCTGGGAAGGTGGTATCCAGTGACATCTACTGGATGTCTGTCTGTCAGGAGCATGCGTGACTCCAGGGATGGTTGGGACTTGATAAGTCAAGGGGTCTGTGGGAAATTTTCCCTTGAGGAGTGTGCTACTTTATTTAAAACTAGTGGCCTGGTGCACAAAATTTGTGCACATTAAAAGGGAATTAATTAGAGGAAATATTTTAATGTTGCTATTTTCCCTTTCTCTATAATAGAAATGTCAGAGATGAAAGAAAATTAGTAAAATGTATATGAAAATCTTCCTCCTGTCAGAGTCTGGGGCATGTCAGGCTCCACTGGGTGGGGGGCATGGCCTCAGGTCCCCTGGCCTGGCACTGGGGCGGGGGTTGCCGCCTGAGGTCCCCCGGCCTGGGCTGGGATGGGGGAGTTGCTTTGAGGTCCCCTGTCAAACCCCACTGGGCAGGGGGTGTGGCCTCAGGTCCCTGCCCTGGCCCGGCGCCATGCAGCCTCAGGTCCCTGCTGATCGCTCGTTACGGGAACTCCACCTCCCGCCTCCACTGTGGGTGCAGCCATCTTGTGATGGCATGACTGAGTGAGGGTCAATTTGCATATTACTCTTTATTATATAGGATAATCTACTGAAGTATAAATGCACCTATCTTAGCACCCTCATTATCAGCTGAAAGCAAAAAACATGTGCCTTTTTGAATGCTTGGGGATGTCCCTTTAGGGGAAGGTGAGAGAGATTTTTCTGGACTTGTGTATGGGTTGAGGAGACTTGGCAGCATTTAAGCTCTAGACAGGGGATCCAGGATTGAGGGTCTTTGCAGACTTGACCTTCTTTTTCTTTTCTGCTCATTCAGTTTATAAATGATGAAATTTTAAAACACAGGCCAAGCCCTAACTGGTTTGGCTCAATGAATAGAGCATCGGCCTGCGGACTCAAGGGTCCCAGGTTCGATTCCGGTCAAGGGCATGTACCTTGGTTGCAGGCACATACCCAGTAGGGAGTGTGCAGGAGGCAGCTGATCGATGTTTCTCTCTCATTGATATTTCTAACTCTCTATCCCTCTCCCTTCCTCTCTGTAAAAAATCAATAAAATATATTTAAAAAAAATAAAAATAAAACACAGGCCAAGCAGACACCTGTCCCTAAATTTTCACTCTTACCTTTCCCACTGACTTCTCAATAAGTAAAAAAAAAAAAAAAAAAACTAAATTAAAGAACTTGCAAGATCCATCTCAATATTGAAGATCTCAACCCTTCAAAAGCCACCATTGCTCATCTGCAAAATGAGTTGGTCTCTTCCACAGTCTCTCTCATTAGGATTCCAATGTTTCAGTTCCCTAACTGGGATTATCCTGGGGTTTGTGCAATCAGGGGGTCTGTGAATTTGTTGAGAAAGTATGACATCATTATTTTCACTAACCTCTGATGGAATGTAAGCATTTCTTTCACGAAATGCTTAACAAACATTTCTGTTTGTTCAGGAATGTAGGTGATAACTTTGTCACTGATAGCAATCATTTTTCTATCATATTAGGGTCATCGTAGAGATCTTAGAATATCAGTTGTGCTCATTGCTACTTTCAAATTATGATAGATATATGTTTTAATATTTAATGTACTAATAAAAAAACACATAGTTATTCTATCACAATTTAAAAATATTTTTATAACTGCATTTCAATATAATTGATTCCTTCTGATTTCTTATGTAATTAGGTTATTCATTTATAAACACAGTTCTCAGGTGAACTTTACAGGCTTCACCAGACAGCCAAGGAATCCATCCCCCCTCCCCTCCCCCAAATCTAGGAATTCCTGGTCTAGTCCAATAACTCAAGTAGAAAGAATTTCTCAAACAAGCAGTTCTGTAGCCAGAGAGCTACTCTCTGGGAGAGGAGATAACTCCCAATTTCACTCCAGCAAAGTCCTTCATTTCAGGGCATGGGAAGTGTCTTTAGCCTTCACACAAGGGGAGAAAACAGATGTACATGGAGGGTCACGGGCTTGGAAACGTGCTGGTTTTCACTTATCTAGAAAACGTTTCTGTTTTTTAAGGATGAACACATGCTGGGATCGCAGGCTCGCTAAGCTGCCCCAATCAAGAAAAGCTTTGCTTTAAGACAGCTTCCCGAAGACAGGTCCTGCTTACTCTTCCTTTAGCACCTGCACACACACACACACACACACACACACTCATACACACACACACACTCATACACATACACACACACACACACACACACACACACACACACACACACACCCCTCTTGTAAATCATACAGTGACCTGATGTGACAGTCAGTCTGAAGGTGCATCTGTCCCACTTAGGATGTTCCAGGGCTACAGTTCCATGCCTCTTTAGTGTGATCAGTTCTAAGTCTAATTGAAAGGTCATAGATACTAGAAGAGCTCAATGCGGAGGAAAGGAGTGGAGGAGAGCCCTAAACAAGAATTTTGGGGCTAAGCTACCCTAGAAAAAAGTGAGAGGTCTGTAAACCACACCATGTGAGGGATACCTGGGGGTCTGGGGATGTCTAACTTGAAGAAGAGAAGACTCAGTGGAAGTCAGAGAGGACACTTTCCAATTCTAAAGTTTGGACCATGCACTTGGAGGAGAGGTATATTATAGGCTCCAGGGGGAATCCCAGGGCCATGCACGTGGGCGGAATCAGCTTTAGTGACGAGTCCAGACTTTGTAGACTGTCAAACCTGGTTTTGCCACATACTGGGTTGGTGACCTAGAACAAGTTCCTAACCTCTTGGAGCCCAGTTTCTTTATCCCTTAAATGGAGAGAGTGATAGCTCATAGGGTTGTTACAAGGATTGAATGAGGTAATATAATAAATTGCAGCCCTAGAATACAGTAGTTGCTCAATAAATATTATCTCTTACCAGTAGTATTTTTATACCTTGTAAATTTTTCTAGGACAGATGAAACCCAGGGGCACACACAAATTCCTTGCCCTCCTCCTCATTTTTCTCCTTGTTCTCAACACATATTTATTAGCTGTTCCCATGTGCCATGCACTGTGCTTGGTGTGGAGACAGTACTGAGCAAAAAGTACTCTGAGTGTGACCTTGTAGTGCTTGGAGTCTTGAGGACACCACACAACCAAAAATGCAGCCTTGACTGAGGTAAACACTGAATAAGATGAGTAAATATCTATATTATTTTTAAAAACAGAAATGCTATTTTCCAAGTGAATGAAAGGATAGGTGGCAATTGCTGATAATAATTAGATACCAGAAAGTTAACATAACCAAGTTAGGAAGAGCGAGAATAAGTTTGCAAAGAGAATGTCTGTTAGCCTGAATTTGCCTATGCATAACTAGAAAAAAAAAGATGGTTGAAGAAAGACTGGAGAGATCAAAGGTCGGACATTGGGAGGTTCTACTGCATTAGGCAGGAAACAGAATTTAACTGAGATGGTTCAAATGAAGTTATTTCAATGAAGAGCTTATAGGAGCTAAGGCTGGGAGGGAGTGAGGAGGACATACTCTGGCCTTGCTCTCCTCTCACCTTCCCATCTCATGATAATATCTCTCATTGGCTGAACCCAACCGGAAATAGCAAAGGGGTCTCCTGGAGCACAGAACAGAGCATGATGGGTGGGAAATGAACCTGGGGAGTGGAGGCAAAGGGAGAAAAGCCAGCCCACCTGCCAAGATCAAACAGACCCTGGCCTCACAAGTTGTAGATGAAATAAACAGATCATCAAGGAGAAGATAATGGGGTTAACAAATAAGGTCTCCTTTTTACTTCAGTTAGTTTGAATGAGGTTATCTCCTTGCAAGCAAATGATCCCTGATTGGTAAATACAAAGGAGCCATGAAGTAAAATTGTGTATGGGTGTATCTCTACTCAACTAACCACTAAAACTGCTTTCCATTTTACTCTGGACACTGGTATTTATGATTAGAATACCTTTCCATGCATGAAAATGTGTGTGGTACCTAAGGGTGAGCATCTGTGAATAAAACGGGTGGGTGAAGTGTATGTGTGTGTTACTGGTTTCACTGGTACTTTACCCTAACTTTCCTTTACTGTTTTACATAAATAAAAAATAGTATTGACTTTTTAGTTTGATGACACAGCAGAAAATGTTTTCCAAAGTAAAGCTGGTATAGCTGCCCAGCCGGGAGATCCAGATGGGTGTGTGCCTCTATAGACCTTTGTGGGGAAGCAGCTCGTGTCTCAGTTGCTGGAGGGATGCAGCTTAATTAGTTGTCCAAAGCAATGTCATTAGTGGCCTGCAACTCAGTGTGTGGGGTCCCTAAAAGCTGACCCCCCTGTGCCTTACTGATATTTGAGAGGCAGTAGGATGAGGCTGCCCTCCATATCATCCTTGGCCATTCTGCCAGATGCCTAGGAGGTAATTAGGCACCTTTATAGAATTCACTCCCAAGGAACAAGACGAAACTACAACTTTAATAACATTTTCTACCACGCTCATGCTCCAGCAGCCTGTTTGCAGTGACAGTGGAATGTACTACTAGTTTCCAGCAAATGGATTCAAACGTGGAGGACATGGAAAAGAACTTTTCCTTTGGAGGCTGTCAGCATTCCCCACAAATACTCGCTATGAGCCATTTTCCTGGGAGCTATTTGTGCTTGTAGGGCATCTTATTTGGTTAAAGAAAAACCATAAGATAGCATCAAGAACAAATAACACATTCAACAATGTTCAGGGGCTGAGGATTTGCAGATGGAAGCAGGGGTTCAGCCGAGGGCCAGCAGTTACTTGATATTGGGGGAAAAATGTTTGTTGTTCTTAAGCTCTTCAAGACCAAAGAAGCATTTGACCCAGAACCTGTAAGTGAGTAACCCATTCCTTAAGCTATTTTCTTTGGAAGGAAGTAGTTGTAGCAGGGAAAGAGTAGGCCTATGAGGGGTCCATGGCTAGAGGACAGATTGCTCATTAACCCTTTCAAAGTACTTGAGAAGTGTGTTGCAAGTCATGTATTGGTATCCTTATGAACCATCCTCTACGTAGTGGTTTCCTCCATCCCATCCTACCTAAATAGAGGAAGAATGGAGTAGATTGGAACTCTGAACTAATCCCCTTGTAGGTCAGGTTTCCCCTAGGGAGTAAAGAAATTCATGTAGCGGCCAAGTAGGCAACTCATTTTGTTGACAATTGCTCGATAACAGAGTAGGGAGTGTGCTTATTAATGTGGTGGATGAAATGCTCATGAGAAGGCTGGGACCTTAAAAAATAGGACCTATATTCAAAGTGGCCTTGCTGGACTGGAAAAGTGACCTGAAACCAAACTTGAGAAAGAACAGGCCCAGGCCAGTTCGCCAGAGAGGAAATTCACTCTGCAGAAATCCAAGGCCACGCAGATAGCCCAGCGGATGAGTCAGCAACATCTTCACACTGGGATGTCCTTTGTGCTCAGATGGTGCTTTAAATCACAGCCATTAGGGCACATATTTGGATTTCCTGCAGGGAAAAGGGATTTGCAGTGAGAAATCCAAAATCCCAGCCGAACTGTTTTGCTGGCCAATGGCAAGCCTACTCAAGGTGGTAGGTTTGGGTTGGAGGTCAGTGGCCAAAGGTGAAAAAAAAAAAAAAGGAAAGGAAAAGACAATTGGTCCCATGTGTTCACTACCAGTGTGTATTAGAGTATATAAGTAAGTGCTTGGCTCCTCCAGGACTGGGACCACATTTCAACTCTTTTATGATTAAGATCTGTGGTCTAAGCTTTAGTTATTTTGGTGTAAAAGTGGAGATCATTGTATTTATTTTGCAGGGCTGTTGTGAAGATTAAAGGAAAACTGTATATGGAAGAGTTAGTCATAAAGAAAATGTTAAGTGTTGGGAATGGAATCTTTCCTTGATTTTTATGGCTGATTTCTGATCTTCATTTCTTGCTATAAAAGTTGGTGAGAACCCGGGATATGCAAATGGGGAACCTTTGAAGCTGGCTTACTGAGCTCCTTCCTTGATGAGGCAGGCTCCTGACTGAGGAAGGATGTCGAGCCCCAAAGAAGGGAAGAGGACACCCCCAAAGAGAATAAAGACCCCAGGATGAAGCACAAGAAGAAACACTAAAAGACTCATCTTCTGCCGAAACCGGTTTGGCTCAGTGGGTAGAGCGTCGGCCTGCGGACTGAGGGGTCCCAGGTTCGATTCCGGTCAAGGGCATGTACCTGGGTTTCGGGCACATCCCCGGCGGGAGATGTGCAGGAGGCAGCTGATCGATGTTTCTCTCTCATCGATGTTTCTGACTCTCTATCTCTCTCCCTTCCTCTCTGTAAAAAATCAATAAAATATATTTAAAAAAAAAAGACTCATCTTCTTCAGCATAGGCAAAGGGTATTTACTCTTTCCAGTTTTCACATGGGGCCTAGACTACAGTGTGTGCCATTCAAGAAAGCTACTAGGAAGATTTTTAAAAAAATATATATTTTTATTGATATCAGAGAGGAAGGGAGAAAGAGAGAGAGATAGAAACATCAATGATGAGAGAGAATCATTGATCGGCTGCCTCCTGCACACCCCACACGGGATTGAGCCTGCAAGCTGGGCATGTGGCCTTGGCCGGAATCTAACCTGGGACCCTTCAGTCCATAGGATGACATTCTAACCACTGAGCAAAATCGGCTAGGGCACTACTAGGAAGATTTTGAAAATTTAACATAATCCAAGTAATTAAAAAAAGCGTTTGAATTGCTCTGACATGATATCTTGGTAAACAATGCACATTTGGCCTGGGCTGGTTTAATTATACTCCCCTTTGAAGATAAGAACGAGACTAGGCCATCTCTGAAGGCTCTTCCTAGGTCCAAGACTCTTATGATTTTGGGAAAGCTTAAAGGAAATAAAAATATAACCTGTCAGATTAATTATCTTATTTAAGAAGACTCAGAAGGGAGGGTCATCATGCACAGGGCATTGATGTAGTAAAGGGTTTTGGAGCCACCCAGACCTGGGCAGGAATTTCAGTCCTGGTACTGACTAGCTCAGTGACCTCAAGTAAGTAAACCCAGCCTCTCTGAGCCTTGGATCCTCCATCTGTAACTTGGGGACAGCAGCACCTGCATTAAAGTTTTGTTGTCAGAAGGAGATAATATTCATGGAGAACAATGCACAATTCAAAGAGCACTTAGCAGGTAGTGATACATTCCAGCTCCTCCTCCTGTTATTATCACTATTGCTAACTGCACACTGTGCACATCAAAACACCCAAGGTTTTATTCTCTTTTGCAAACATTTGGTACAATTAGTCTTCCCACTTGATAGTTGAGAAAACCTGAAAGCACAGAAGTTAGCTGTTGGCCAAAGTCCACGACCCAGTAATTTCTTACTTTGTTAAGAAAATGGTGAGAACATTTTTGTGTGCTATGATGAAAATGCAGTTGAGTTTTTGAAAGACACTTTTTTTGGTCACTCTTATAATTTTTTTCTCTCTCCTTTTTGATGGGAAAGAAACGATTTGTATCACAAGCGAATACAGGTTTAGGGATCCAGAATAGGGTCAACAGTGTTTCTTTGTCTCTTCTGGTTTTAACCAGTTTCAGGATTTATTCATTTCAAAGAGGTGGAATAAACTTTGTGGTTCTGTGGAATTCTTACAGATAAGCAGAAGACTAGAAATCTTGGCTGAAATTGCTTCCTTGCTTATTTCTCTGCATTGAACAGCATGGCATGGTTCAAAATAACAGAAGTTATTTTGAGTGTTCTCCAAGAGAGATTTCTGGTCCCTGAACATCTTGGAAGAAAACAGTCTAAGAAAAAAGCTACAAAAGCAAAGTTGGTGAAATCCTGGACTTGCTTCTGCCACCATCTTAGGCAGGTTTGCCTCTCTCGGCTTCAGTTTCTCTACCTGTTAAATGGGGGAATAGGACCTGGTGGCTGAAAGACCCCTTTCAGCTCAAAATTCTCTGATTTATGTTCAACTATTAAAGAACAAAAGAGAACGGGCTGGTGAATTTTACCAATTAATCCATAAAGTAAACATTTTTTAGTTATCCTAGAGAAAAATCCAGGTGCGACTTAGAACCACTTGTCACAGGGGTGAGATCTGAACACGTCCTTTTGGTCCAGCCTACTGTCTTGCCAACCCCCAGACCACACCAGGTGGATTTCTCTGTGTGAACCGTGCAGTGGAATGGAATTTATAAACTGTACCATGGGCCCACTCAACTGCCCTCAGACCCCAGAGGACTATCCACTTTGGGTCAAATGTGGGGATTAGATTTAAAAACTGTTTGTTCCTGTCCTGACTAGTGTGGCTCAGTTTGTTGAATCATCTCGTCTGAGGGGTTGAGGGTTTGATTCCTGATCAGGGCGCATACCCAGGTTGTGGGTTCAATCCCTAGTTGGGGCATGTGCGGGAGGTGACCGATCGATATTTCTGTCTCACAACTATGTTTCTCTCTCTCTCTCTCCCTCCCTCTCCCTCTCCTTCCCCTCTTTCTAAAATCAATAAAATAAATGTCCTTGGGTGAGGATTAAAAAAGGAAAAAGATAAGAAAAGAAAAAAAAAAGAACAACAACAAAAAACTGTTTGTTCCCTAGTTCCATACCCAAGAAACACTAATCTCTTCCCCACCCGTCCCTCTCTTGGCCTTTGTTATTGCCTTGTTTATTGATGGACTGTCTGTCATCTAAATAAACTATAGAGAGATTCTACAGGTTTTGGAGTCAGGCAGTCCTAGCTTTGGGTCCTTTGTGCTTACCTACACTGTATGCTCAATAGCAAGTCATTTGACCTCTCTGAGTGTGAGTTTTTTCACCTGAAAGACCAGAATGTAAATATTTCCTTGCATAGTTATTAGGGAGATTAAATAAAATATTACGGGCAAAGCACTTAGTATTAGGTATATTGCAAGGGACCAACACAACAAATCTATTAATTATCTATAAAATTGGATTTTAATAAATGTTTATGAAACAAAATAAAATGAGAGCTACTTCTTCAGAACATTCCAGTGAAAGGTGAAGAGGGTGGCGTGAAGATTATGAGACACAGCAGCATTTTCCCGAAAATACGTCTTAGACTCATCACGGGCTGGAAGGCAGAGCATGGGAGAAGCACCTAGGCATTTAGGAATGAACTCACCCCTGACCAGCCGTGGGGCAAGAACTGGCCCTCAGCCCAGTACTTCCCATTGACGAAGAAGAGGCCTGCAATCATGATGAACACCCACACCGCCAGGTTCAGCACATTGAGCACGTTGTTGAAGCCCACAGAGTTCTTCACCCCCAGCGAGACGATGATGGTGACGATGACCGCGATCACCAGAGCCAGAAGGTCTGGGTAGGATTCCTCACCTTTCCCTGGAGGGGAAAGACATGAGTTAATATTGTCCAGAGGGAAAAAAGGCCAGGCAAACTCCCAGCCCCTCCCCAGGGCATCGGCACTCAGCTCTGAGAGGGGTGGTCAGATTGTCACAGAGGGAGAAGAAATGCTGTGAGTGTGTGTGTGTGTGTGTGTGTACGTGTGTGTGCGTGTGCGTGTGCGTGCGCATGTATGTGACTACACTGTAGTCTACAAGTGTCTATTTGCAAATGGGAAGGTTTTGGTATATAGACAAAATAACATGATATCCTGGACCCTAAATTGGGATACATGATATGACAGTTACAAGAGTCGTATGGAATCATGGCACAGAACATTTGAAGTTAGGACTCTCCTGGGATATTTGGGATGTATACATAGGCCTAACATGTTACTTGAAAATTGTTTTATCTTCATTTTTGTTCACTTTATAGTCCATGAATTTTGCTTTCCATTCCAGCAATTTTTTCATCATTAGAAAAATTCAAAATGTGTGTCTTTGAAAACTATTGGAAGAAAGGTGTTCTTTCCATTTATGTGTAAGGGGCTGCAGAGAAAATGACCGGTGGACAGCCTTCAAGGTCTTGTCCATTGGCCAGTGGACTCCTGCCCTCTATGGAGTGGAAAAGGCACTGCCTCAGCAGTCAGGCTCCTGAATTTCAGCTGCACTTTTGCCTGTAACCAGAGAGGTCAAGTTAAATTAAATTGCTATTAAGTACACAGTGTAAGTAAGCACCCAGGACCCAAAGCCAGGACTGACTGACTCTGGGCAAGTGCCTCACTCCTCTGGACCTCCCTGTGAAGTTAAGGGGTGGGACTCCCTGATGCTGGAGGACCCGTGCAGACTTAAAATTCTATGAAATTAGTGTACTGAGGAGATGTGGTCTCCATACATTTTTATCTTCTCATGGTATCTGGATACTCAGCATTTTTGTCACTTCTTCTCAGATAGAGACACCAAAGTTAAAGGACTTATACACAGCCTCAGAATCAGTCCCTCAAAGTTCGGGGAAGAACCCCAAAGTTTCCACCACTAATGTTTAGCCTCCCATGAATGTGAAAGCATAAAGTCAGACATCAGCATGGAAAGTGGGAGGCAAGTGATAGACAGAGCCTGAAGTCTCAAGGTATTCGCTCCGTGAGCTTCTGATCGTTTAGTATTCACTCCGTTCCATTGCCATCCTTGACCTCTGCTAGACTGAACCCATTTTGTTCCATTTTAGAAATATATTCATTTTTTACTCATTTAAATATTAATACATGCTTATTTATGAAAAATTTAAAAATCTTCTGAGGAAGCCAATGGAGAAGTTTCTTACAGTTCTTACATGATTTGTTTTATTGTTATGTATTTATTAACATGATACATGTATGATTTGCATCCTTTGTCACCTGCCATTACATTAAAAACATTCCATGTTATTACAACAGTTTTCCTAGTCTTTCTTTTATTTTCTAGCTACATAGTATGTTTCCATGATTTACTTAGCCATTTGCTCCACTGTAGAATATTTAGGCTGTTTCCAATTAATTTTGTTATTATAAATAAGGCTGTGATGAACATCTTTCTGTAGAAAGCTTTATGGAAATTAGACTGATTTCCTTAGGATAGATTCGCAGGAAAAGAATTACTTTGCAAAAACAACAACAACAACAACAACAACACACACACACACACACACACACACACACACACACACTAAAGCAAACAAACACATATTTAAGGCTATTGATACATTTTACCAAGTTGCATCCTGAAAGGAGAACCCACTCATTTGGCTCAGAAAGTTTGCATGTTGAGGTGAGAGGGGTGTGGTCTTACCCAGGCCATTGAGGGTCCCCACGCTGTTCACCATCCAGCGGCTGAACGTGTGGTTTGCCAGCGAGTCAAACATGCTGCTCAGGGCACTGGCACCGGCCGCAGTGCCAATCAGGTATTCCAGGATCAGGTTCCAGCCGATGAAAAATGCCACAAACTCCCCCACGGTGACATAGCTGTAGGTGTAGGCCGACCCCGTGGTCTTCGGGACACGGACTCCGAACTCTGCATAGCAAACACCTGCATGGGACAAAACACACCGGTGGTAGGAGGTGAGCAAACCTCTTGGTGGCTTACGATGTTGGGTAGAAAATACCGGGAATCTCTGGGATTGAAGAACACATACACAGAACGTTATGTATATGAACCCATTCAAAGCCAGTAATGTTTTCCAACCTCCCTTCTGAAAATTTTTTAACCGGAATGCCTGGAAGGCAATCAGAACTAATTCTAAGGAACTGTTAGAAACTGATCTTCATTTGGAACGGTCCCTGTTTGTTGTATGGGTCTCTGTCACTGTTCATAGGTGTCAGATATCCTGAGTGAATATGGACCTAACTCATTATGACCCTACAGCTGTTGGCACCAGGGTTAGATTATGTGTAAAATTCTTCTGTTTCATTTTTACATCTTGCAGAAGATGCATCTCGTTGGAGAGGGATACTTTGAGTGATTTGTGAACATCTTGTACTATATCTAGGGGACTGATAAAATATTCAAATGTAAATAAGTGACTAGTTATTAACAAGGAAATTGACCACATGCAAAAGATAATTTAATGAACAGTTTTAGAGTGCCTACTATGTGCCTGTCGGGCTGCTGGGGATAAAAAAACACACACACAAGTGAGATGAGGCCTTGCCCTCAAGGGGAGATGTACCAGAAAATCATGGTAGGTTGGAAAAGCTCAGTGATATAGAAACACAGAGGAATGAGAGCAAAGATCAGAGACATCTACATTAGCTGGTTTTGAGAAATATGGAGGAGTTAATTAGACAAAGAAGGTATTATATGAGGTAAAGACATGGCAGAGAGAGATAGTTTGAAGTATTTGGATGGAGAGGAACGTGCAGGCGGGCAGCTGGGAGAGTCGGGCCCACTCCGCCAGAATCATCTATTGAATCATAATTTCAGGATATGGGGACCAGGAACCTGTATTTTAACAAGCTCCCCACTTATTTTTTTAAGAAATTTTTTAAAATTGATTTCAGAGAGGAAGAGAGAGGGAGAGAGAGATAGAAACATCAATGATGAGACAGAATCATTGAATGGCTTCCTCCTGCATGCCCCCCACAAGGCATAGAGCCTGAAACCCGGGCATGTGCCATGACCAGGAATTGAAGTGTGACCTCCTGGATCATAAGCCGACACTCAACCACTGAGCCATGTCGGCTGGGCACTCCCCACCTATTTTTGAAAAATGTTGGTACATTGCCCCATTCTTTGTTTAATGGAATTAGAGATCAAATTAGAAGGAGGCTGGGGATACACCAGACTTTTGGGAGGTGGGAGAGTTTCCTACACTGTGCAGGAGCTCCCGATGTGGGGCCAGTGGCTGAGGTGCCAAGTCGGAGGACAGATGTAGGACAGCTTGGAGGAAACACAGCAGGAATGGGATGAGGAGGATGTCAGAGGGAACGCCAAGTAAACTTCACCTCCAGTCCCAATTTGTTAAGGGCCAACCCTGAAGCTCTCTCATCACAAATCAGGGAACAAGAGTTCACTCTTTTGTGAATAAAGAGAGCAGGTTTCTTTTCCTTTGGAAGGGCGGATACATCAATGCAGAGAAGCAAAACCAAATGTCAGAGCAATGACACACTGAATGATGCCATGCGATGTAATGTCGCTTTTCCTTCCTCTCAGTGATGTCAGTCGTCAGGGTGTCCGTATGGAAGGAGCCCTGGATCAGAAGGGCTGTGCTGTTGTCTACCTTGAACCTGTTCCACCTTTTGCTTTCAGTTTCCTTCTTAGTAAAATAAAGGAATGGGACTGGGATGCTTTCTGAAGGATCTCCCTTCTCCGTTACTCTAGAATTGAAATTTTGCTGCAAAATATATTGAGCATAACCTAATTTTTCTTTTATGTCAGTTACTATGTTGTTCTGTATTATGGAGATGCTCTCAGGACTAGCAAAGCCATCTGTGCTTACATTAAATGGCTCAGGCTGCTATTTACTTTGAGTTCCTGTGTCAGCCCCCCTCCCTCACTTTGTAAAAACAGTTTTCCATCTCTTTCCTGGACGGTCAGTTATTTCTCTCTGTTGCTGTCACAGGGCTCACCCTGAGCAGTCAAACTTCCTCCTTTCTAAATTGCTGCTTCTAACACCCAATGTTTGAATTGTTGGAGGGAGTCTAAAATTAAGAGGATGTGGTCTAGGAAAGAAGACCTGAGGAACTCTTCCATGAGGAAATTGTAGGGTGTATAAGCACCAAGTATGAGGACCTAATGAGACTTTCTCGCTGGAAGGATTTTTGTGTTTTCTCCTGAAGAGAGCTGAGTTGGCACATTACCGAGTAGGCTGTTCTTTAGCGCAGCTCGAGGAAGGACTAGGAAGCAATTAACTGCTCCTCTTTGGTATAGGATCCACATTTATATGCTATGAATGTCTTCTCTCCACCTATTTTTACCTCCTCATAATATATAAGGCCTATAAACTGTTGTTGTTTTTTTTCCTCCAAGCAATACTTTTGAAACAGGCTCAGTTTGAAAATGTAATTTGGGGATTCAGTATTGTGCAATCTAACAGTTTCTACTTAATATCTGATCTGCCAAATCAAATTTTAAAACACTCAGTTCATCATCAGAACCGAATAGCCAAGACTTCACTAGGTCTTAGGAAGGGACCAGCCCCTTGCTGTCCTAAGTCAGGCTGTGCACAGTGCAGGAGCATATGGAATCTTAGCCATTCATTTCCCAAGCTCCTGCTTGGATTCTGGTGACTGGAGGTTGGGGAGAATGGCGAGAAAATCAATTAGCCACTAACCGTGTAAGACAATTTCTGCTCTCAGCAATCATACCTTTGAACACATTGTAAGGGAATTGATAATATTTTTAACCTTTCTCATTTATGTGTCTGCAGGAATCCAGGCTTGTAGTGGGCAGTAGAGAGCATCACAGCTGGTACTGAAACTCAGGGGTGAGAAGTGAGTGATTTCACCCCAAATATCCTGGTAAAAACTGGAAAATGTTGTGTCATTTATCTATTTTCAAGTACCTGGTGTGTAAAGAGAAAAATTCAAGGGTATATTTCTATTCAATAAGAAATTTTTAAAAAGTGCTGACAGGGTAATCTTGATTTTCTATCCTAATAACTGGGTGTCCAAGAGCAAGTCACTTACCTCACCTGGATAAAAATGAGGGGGCAGTTAGAGAAGATTTAAGGTAGCTTCTAGTTCTATCATTCTTTGGTTTCACAGCTGGAATCTGGGTCACTGGGGAAGCTCTGTAGAAAATTCTTCAAACCAATGGTCCTCAGCAAAGGTACTGCCTCCTCGGGTTTGAATTCTGGAAATCTGTAGGAGTGTCTGTTGTCCTCATGATAATTGTGGGCACAAGCTGCATTAGATGGCCAGAGGACTGGGCTGTTAGACATTGTGCCACATGTGGGACTGTCCCCAGAATGAAGCATGGTCCCGTGTCTCACATGACTTCTGAAGAAGCCAATGGGCAATCATGCAAGTAAAAACCTGTTTATTATTTCTAAATCTACCTCCATTTTGCATATTAACACAAAGCATTTTTCCACGGCTTTATCAACAGAGAGTTTTCCAGGACTACAACAATGGGGTAAATTGAGGGACAGTTGTAATTTGTTTTGTTTGGAATTTACCAAAAGTTGGCCATCATTCTGGAAAAACTACATCATCCACAGCAACATGACTCATGGTCTTTGAACACCACACAGCACACCTACATGAGTGTACATTTGCAGCAGTTGCATTTGTAGTGGTTCTATAGACGATGGGAAACATCTGATTACTTCATTATGTCTCCTAACATTATGTCTCTCAGATTCACCCATTAAAATAAATATTTTTTATTAGAAATTACTCTTCTTACATTTATATTTCATACTCAGGGCACATTATTTTTTTAAATTAAGTGTATAAGAAGGTAACATTATCCCGAGTTTGTATTTCACAAGCATAAAGGAAGCATTGCAAAGTATTTATTACCTAAAGTTGATTTGGTGTACTGGGTGGAGAATCACTATTTTAAAGGAGAGATAGATTTATAAATAATATTTACTCAATTTAGTAATGTGTTTAAAAATAATTCTTCCCCCAGAGTTACCTTTCTAATCATATTTGCCAGTGCTATTGTCAAAGTGCATTCCCTGGCTGCCCATCAAGTGATTGGAGAGGGAGAGGCATATTGATTCCAAAAGTATAACCATGTAGCTGGAGAAAATCAATATAGAGTGCAATGTTGAGGTCCAGATAGCCATCAATGAGAGACTGCATGCTGCAGACCACATGATGTACGGTTCCCATTAGAGCTGTTCAGAGATAGCAAGTCTAGGTCCTCGAGAAATATGAAGGCTCCATTTCAGCAGGACTAGAGGAAATGAGTGATTTCTCATAGCCTGCAACTGATATTCTTTTCCATTACCCACTCTTTAAGTATATTGTAAGTGTATCCCTGTTTTCATCTTGTCATATCCCTAGTGTTTTGTTTTATTTCTATACCCGGGACTACTTTTTTAAAATTAAATTGACACATTCCCAGCCTAAAAAGCACTTAAATTTACACATTAAAAAGAAGATTGGGACAAGATACCAGGAGATTCCATATTTGAAATATTCTCTGTCAATCCTCTCTTGTGTACCCCAAATGATGTATGATTTGGGGTTCAGAAAACTTTAGTACGTTTTAACATGAATTCTTTCCAACTCAGAGAGTTCATGGTTCTATCATATGCAGGCATACTAGGTCAGCCTGAGGTTAGATACCCCCAGAGAGCCTATGAACACTGTTGAACTTTCCAACTGTGCCTGAGACCATGCCACACTATTGTAAAATATTACTATATGCTCCCCCTCTTCTAATTTCATGTCTTCACTCACAGTTTACCCTGGCTCTCTAATACTCTCTTAGAACCAGAAGGCCAATATTCTCCAATTTAAGAGGGTGGAAAGGAGAAAGACCCAGCTGAGAGTAGGCAAATGATTGAGAAGTGTTTCTTGACTCAAGAAATGTATTTCCTTCCATTTTCCACTGAAGAAAGCCATTAGATAAAT